TGTTATTAGATTCTTTTAACTCTTTAACCTAAATTTTTGGATATTATTCAATATTGAATAGATCTAAATTATTTTGTTAAAATACAATCCATATGTGTACAAAATATGTTTAAATCATTTTCAGATTATATTTTATAATTTTTTGAAATTAGAGAGTAATCGTTTTGATAAATTATTTAATTAGTTGAGAAGATGTAGGAAGATTATAATATCAGATTTTGGAGTTGATCATATAATTTATATTTTCTTTCTTGATTGAATTTGTACATTCTAACTTTAAAAATTCTAGAAACAAAGTTTTTGAACATCTATAATACTCGGTCACCAGGTAATAGAAAGTGGAAGTAGACAATAGGTGCAAGTGATTTCTTTATAATTAAAAAAAAAATCCTCTATGACCAGATAAACCTACCATTTTATGTTGATGAATTCAAGATTTATTTTATTATTAATAATAATAGTTTTTTAGATATTGGTGCTTACATCTTAATATTTTAAAATTAGAATTCAAAATCATTATATTGCTCTTAGATCAATAATATTTTAATACTTTAAACCTTACTAATTATGTGGAAGGTAAAGTGTTAAAACCAGCAAGATTTTATATATTGAAATATCTAAAACTTTTTAATATATTATGATAATCATAAACCTTTTTGCAACTATGTTATAGTAAATACATAAACTAAACTCAACAATTATAATATTTGACCATGTGCATTGCATGTACATTCCACCTAGTAATTGGAAATATTTAACCGATGATCATGCATGAATTAGTATTCCTTAGCAAAAGGAAGGAAGGAAATTAAGAAATTAAAAATTAAGTTTGCATGATCATTTCTTATTTACACCTCACATAATTTAAACATCATAGGATGGATGTCCTAAAATACTTAAGCATAAAGAGCACTGTAATGATCTGTAAATTATTTACTATTTAAGTAAGCCTGAAAACCTTATGTTACATAGGATTTATATTGGGCGATTCTTCAATGGGATTGCATTTGGTTTTCATCAATAGAGGAATTTAAGGTGAAACACAATGGTTAAAGCACAAAAGACACATTTAATAATTTTCCTTCTCGACTAACATACGACACTATTAATCTTCTTTAACTTCTCATTCAAATAAAACCCTCTTCATCTCCGCCGTATCGTAACCTCTACATTCAATAATATATAACTCCCTCATCCCTGCCTCCTTCTCAAAAATCCATTCACCATAAAAAATAGTACTGATATCTCTCCTGTAAAACATAGCATGCCAAAACGATCTATCATTTTTGTTCCGACAAACCCATCACTTTTTCAATTTCGCGTATCGACCAACCTTGATGACGACGGTCTTGTGGACTATTGGAGTAAGATGATGTAGTTCCAACATCGATGCTATAATAAGATCGTATTATTCTTCGTCAATGATGAATAGCACATGGCCTCGACTACAGATGATAAGGTAGCTTCATCTCATTTTTATTTTTAGTTATTGTACATAGTTATCTATGATTTCAGGATGTCTATGCTATATATTATACTTTGTATCGTAGTTTAAAAGGAAAAAAGTTTCCCTCCCTTTGTAATTCACTTTGTTGTGATTAGTATTGCTGAAAGTTACAACAACTAGATTTGAGAAATTGATAAACAGGTGACTTGGTTTAATGCTTTCATAAACTTCAGTCAAAGTTCATATTATCAGGCCCTTGAACTGTTGCTTTCCTCCTCTATGTGCCAGATTTTAGCAGAAATAAGTACTTTTTTGGCAAAGATTTCTTTCTCATAAAATGCAATTAGAGTTCTCCTACAATAGAATATAGTTTAATTATATACCCTAATGTTTCCATACCTTTGCACTTATATACCCTATTTTTTCAATGCATTTATGTACTGTATTGTTTCACTCACTTAATCACTTTAATTTGATTAACCTTTCATTTCCGCTCTTCTTGATCTCCATGTAGTTCTTTTAAATGAAATCATGTTCATCACCATAACTCTCCAACTACAGTTTTAAAATAGCTATCTATTCTCCATCATAGATTGGTCCATAGGTAAGTTAGACAAAGGTTGTCTTACAATAGCAAAGGTGTTGGCCATATTGTTGCAATTAATCACACGGTGGCAAGAAGATGTGGGTTGTAACAAACATATTATATTTCTTTAATTTTTTTGTCCAGCAGTAACTAAGTATGTCCACGTGCATGCACGTGCACTATACTAGTTAGTCTCAAAATAGAAAAATATGTGACATTGCAAGCATGTTAGTGAGTAAATATGGTATTCATAAAAAAACTTTAAAGATGGTAATGAGCAATTTAAGTAAAAGTAAAAGTAGTTTTAATGTAAAAACCCTAAATAATAAGAATAACAAGAATTACGGGACTAAATAATAGCTTCAATTGAAAAAAATTCTTTGACCATGAATTTCAAGCTATTTCAATAATGCCAGCAAGTATTACCATGACCCAAGATTCTTTGTCATGGCGCTACTATCATTGTAGCTCGATCGCCGTCAAGAGTGCTTATAATTGGCAGTTTCTTTCGGATCATTTGGGTGATAACTCTTATGCAGAATCGTCTTGTTCTTGAGATTTGATCTATTGGAAAAGAATTTGGTCTCTTAAAATACCAAACAAATTTAAAGTATTTATATGGAGATTGAGTTACAACTTTCTATCAGTGAAGCATAATCTAATGATTTGCTGGATGTTGATAGATTCACATTGCGTAGCTTGTGGTAAGGTAGTGGAAGATCAATCTCATGTATTGTTCTCGTGCAAAATAGTAAGAAATGCTTAGTTGGGGACTGATTTGTGATTACAAATGTCAACCTTGATTTTTGGATTGGATGCAATCATTGATGGGGGGAATGAGACTAGAGACCTTGGGATGGTTTTGTATGGATGCTATAAAATAGTAGAAATCAAGGCGTTATGGGGAAGGATAGAAGGGATGGGTCAATAATTATGAAAGAGGCTAAGATATACATAAGAGTCTTTCATGGAAAATGTTGAAGCTAAAAGTCATGTCCATGTCTCAACAGTAAACTCAATATGGACTCTTCCTCCTATTGGTTTGTAGAAAATTAATGTTGATGGAGCATGAAGAGAAGGCCAATGTATATGTGGTTTGGGATGTGTGGTTGGGGGATGTGAGACTCTTGCTACGAGGGATGCACTAATTTTGCACTTAAAATTAGACTTTCGAAAGTGATTCTTGAAATGGATAATTCAGTCATGGTTAATGTAGCATTGGGATAAAGAGTTATATGAGATCAAGGGAATTTGTGAAGACGTTAAAAGGTTGGTCAGATATCGTAATATTTCAAGATTCAACATGCACCTAAGAGTTTTGACAAAGTTGCTCATGCTTTGGCTAAAAAAGCTTTGGTCCTCTCTAATATGGTTGCATAGATGGAAGAAGCACCTAATGATATCCTGCATCTGCTATTTTGCTGATTGTAATAGTACAATTTCTTCATTAATGAAATCTTATAATTTTCCGTAAAAAATGATTATATCTTAAGCCTTAAGGAAAAGTTTTTGTAAATGACTGTATGTGATTGATAGTCCTCTTCAAACTAGAATCCACTTTCTAGTGTCAATCTCTCCATGTGATGGATGTGGTTTTTATGCTTGCTGACGTGTCTTATATCATGGTTAAGCCAATAATATATCTCATATTTCGCTATTGTGCTGATTCCGAAGGCAAGGAAAATGATAGGTAAAATATTCTTTGGGACAAGATCAAGAAATATTCGATGCTACTTTGCAGTCAAATTAGCTTCATATCGAGTACAATTGTAATATCTTTTGTCGTTGATCTGTAATTTGTTACCCACACGTGCGTTTAAGTTCTCTTTTTTTTAACTGTAGCCTATTTTTTCTTTTTCTTTTTTTGGCCTGAGCCACCGAGATGCCCCCCTATTGGATGGGACTCTTCTTGTGCGCGGGTAGCAGGCGTTGGCTCAAGGAGAGTTTAGTTACCTAAGGGCACAGGACTCCGGTTATGGATTGTTCCCCCTCAAGTGCTCAGGGTGCTAACCAACTGAGCCACCTATTCAGATTAACTCTAGCCTACTTTCAACCTTAGTCTCTACTTCAACACACGAAAATCAATTTTCTCCACACCCCTCCCCGCCCCTGATGGAATTTGAAGAATACAACACTCTACACAAAGGAAACTTTTATTGATAGAACACTTGAGAATACAATGATGGAATTTGAAGAATACAACACTCTACACAAAGGAAACTTTTATTGATAGAACACTTGAGAATACAACACTTGTTCTTACAAGATCTACACAAAGGAAACTTTTATTGATAGAACACTTGAGAATACAACACTTGTTCTTACAAGAACACCTCAATTTCACACAACTCCTTTATTTTGGTGGACACTCACACAAGGCTACACTACACACTCAAGCTCTTAAGCTCACTTCTTGCTTGCTTGCTTAAATGAGAGCCCAAGACCCCTATTTATAGTTGCTTAAGAGGGCTAGGAAGTGTGTAGAAGAGTTAATCCTAGCCATACATTACTAAAAAGTTTCTAGAAGAATAAATACTAGCCATACACTTTTATCTTCCTAGAAACTTCATGGTAGATATTTTGTAGGATGTTACTAGAAAGAAGTTCTAGAAAGTTGTTCTAGAAAGTTGTTCTAGAATAATCTAAGTTGGTGAGGAATTCTAATACCCCCCCTCATCACCAACTTTCATTTCTCACAAGTCCAAGCTTCTTCTTAAGCTTCAAAAATGTCTCTGTCTTTAGTGGCTTGGTGAAGATGTCAGCGATTTGGTCTTCAGACTTGCAATATGTCAGCATCACAGTCTTCTTTTTAACTTGATGTCGGATGAAATGATATCTTGTCTCTATGTGTTTGCTTCGTCCGTGTGCTACCGGATTTTTGGCAATTTCAATAGCTGACTTGTTGTCGATGAGGATCTCTGTCGGTGTTTCCTGTTGGTGTTGTAGTTCCTCCATCAGACTCCTGAGCTATATTGCTTGACACGCACATGCTGAAGCTGCTATGTATTCAGCTTCGCAACTTGATAGAGCGACGATAGACTGCTTCTTTGATGACCATGAGAATGCTGCTGATCCGATATTGAACATGTAGCCAGATGTGCTCTTTCTTTCATCTAAATCTCCACCATAATCGCTGTCGGTGTAGCCGACTGATCTCGAATCTGTACACCGTGTATAAAATAATCCTTGATCAATACTTCCTCGGACATACCTGAGAATTCTCTTGGCGACCTTGAAATGCTCCTGCCTTGGCTCCTCCATATATCTTCTCCCCAGTCCTACCGCGAACACTATGTCAGGCCTGGTGATGGTTAGGTAGCGCAAGCTCCCGACTAAACTCTTGTATAGAGTTGGATCAATAGAGATTCCTGGTGAGTCTCTCCTCAGCTTCACTCTAACTTCGACAGGAGTTGCAATTAGTTTGCAGTTGTTCATGTTGAACTTCCGAATGATCTCCTTTGCGTACTTTTTCTGAGAGATGAAGATTCCTTTCTCTGATTGCGACACTTCTACTCCAAGAAAGTATGACATTTCTCCAATGTCAGTCATCTCGAACTCCTTGATCATGTTCTTCTTGAACTCCTCGAACATTTTTGGATTGTTACCGGTGAAGATCATATCGTCCACGTAGAGACATACGATCATAATGTCTCCATCCTTCTTCTTGGTATAGAGAGAGTGCTCATACGGACTCTGTTAGAATCCGTTCTTCTGGAAGTATGCATCGATTCTAGCATTCCATGCTCTGGGTGCTTGCTTCAGTCCATACAATGCCTTCTTCAGCATATAGACCTTGTCTTCTTGATTCTTCATCACGTACCCAGGTGGTTGCTCGATGTAGACTTCTTCTTCTAGATAGCCATTAAGAAAGGCTGACTTCACGTCCATCTGATAGATCTTCCACCGGTTCTGTGCTGCCAATGCGATAATGAGTCGAATGGTGTCGATCCTCGCGACTGGTGTGAACACTTCTTCATAGTCAACTCCTTCTCGCTGACTATAGCCCTTTGCAACAAGCCTGGCCTTGTACCTCTCGATTCCGCCGTCTTGATTTGTCTTTGTCTTGTACACCCACTTTACTCCAATGGGTTTATGGCCTTCAGGTAAGGTGGTAAGCTCCCATGTGTCATTTCTCTTGATTTCCTCAATCTCATCATCCATGGCTTTTCTCCACTTGTCTTCTTGAGTAGCTTCTTCATAGCTGACCGGATCACATTCTGCAAATAAGCAGAATAGTGTGTAGTCATCCATCATCTTGACAGGTTCTGTATCATCGTACAGATCTCTTAGGCTTCTCATCCTCCTTGTTGCTCCCCCTAAAAAGCTTCCTTCACTTGAGCTGGATGGTGATGATGTCGGCGTCGATGTTGAGGTTGATGGAGCTGGACTATTTGGTGGACTTTATTCTGGTCTTCCAACCTCCTGCAAGTCATCATCATTATCTTCAAAGAACATACCTTTAATGTTTTTGTCTTCATCGGTCCATTTCCAATAATCTTCTTCATCGAACTCCACGTCTCTTGAAATGATCATCTTCTTTGTAAGCTTTTGTCCTCCTCTCGTACCCAATGAATATGCACTTTTCTCCTCGATCGTCCAACTTCTTTCTTTTCTGCTCCGGGATGTGTGCATATGCAATACACCCAAACACCTTCAGGTGATTGACGCTTGGCTTGATGTTGCTCCACATCTCCAATTGTGTCTTGAACTTGACACTCTTCGTTGGACATCGGTTGAGAAGGTAAACTGCACAGTCTACGGCTTCAGCCCAGTATGTCTTCGGCAGGTACTTACTCTTCAACATGCTTCTGACCATATTAAGAATGGTACGGTTCTTCCGCTCTTCTATTCCATTCTGCTGTGGTGTGTAGGCGGCAGTGAGTTGATGAATTATCCCGTACTGCTTGTTGAAATTGTTGAATGCCTTTGAAGTGTATTCTCCACCTTGATCTGATCGGAGCACCTTGATGTGGTACCCACTTTGCTTTTCTACCGTCTCCTTGAATTCTTTGAATTTCTCCAGAGCTTCGGATTTCTCCTTCAAGAAATAAACCCATGTTTTTCTACTATAATCATCAATAAATGTGAGGAAATACTTGTTTCCTCCAAGAGAGACGACTTCAAATGGTCATGCAATATCTGTGTGGACCAATTGTAGCAGCTCTGTTGCTCTTCTTGACTTTCCAACTTCGAAACTTCTTCTATGTTGTTTGCCCTTCATACAGCCTTCACATAGCTGGTTCGGATGGTTGATTTGAGCAAACCTTTCACCATTTTCTCCTTCCATAGAAGATTCAGGCCACTGAAAGCGAGATGTCCGAATCGTAGATGCCAGAGCCAAGTCTCGTCTTTTATGATTGTCTTCAGGCACTTGACAGAGTTAGCATGAATATTTAAGGTAAACAGTCTATTTCGAGACATGTTCACCTTTGCAATTACTTCATTTTTATTCTTGATAGTGAGGGCAAGATCTTTTAGATGTATATCATAGCCTCTTTCAAGGAGCTGGCCTAGGCTCAAAATATTATTTCGTAATGCTAGAACATAGTAGACATCAGAGATGTACCTGTTCTCGCCCGTCTTTGTCTGGATCATTATATTTCCCTTGCCTTTTACTGGAATCTTTGACTGATCTCCAAAAGTGACATCTCCTTGTACCATCTCGTTCAGCTCGGTAAAGAACTCCTTGATGCCGCACATGTGGTTACTGGCACCTGAATCCAGATACCAGATATCTTTATTCTTGCTTTCACTCTCCTGGTACGTCAGCAAGACTGTTGAAGTGTCTGGCTGCTCCCTTTCTACAAAGTTACTTCTTTCTGCCACTTGATTTGATTTCTCCCAACATTCGTAGCTGAGATGACCGTATCTCTTGCACTTGTAACACTGTGGCTGAGATTTGTCCTCCTGGTATTTTCTTCCTTGTCCTCGTCCTCGTGCGCCACGACCTCGTCCTCGATCAAATGATCGTTCACGATCTCCATTTCGATCTTGATTTTCATGACCTCCTTGGTACTGTCTCCTACGACCTTGTTGGAAGTTTGAGCCACCTCGAAAGGAGCCTCTGCCTCTGTAGCCTCCACATCCTCTTCGACTATCTTCTTTGATAGTCATCTTACTTTGCAAGGCTTGTTCTAGATTCTCCACTTGATTTGAACTAATGTTTATATCTTGTTCATAAGCTTGTAGAGAACCTTGCAGCTCATCAATAGAAACTTCGGAAAGATCTTTAGACTCTTGTATTGCCGGAATAATATATTTGAATTTAGAGTCTAAAGTCCTAAGTATCTTCTCCATAATTCTTACATCATTAATTGCTTCTCCATTTCTCTTCATTTGATTTGTTATTGTCTGAACTCTACTAAAATAATCCGATATTGATTCTGTAGCTTTCATCTTCAAATTTTCAAATTCAACTCTTAATGCTTGGAGGCGTACCTTTTTGGCTCTTTCCGCACCTTGATAGGATTTTTGTAAAATCTCCCATGCTTCTTTAAAGGACAGGGCATTGGAAATCTTCTCAAACGCAGATTCATCTACACCTTGGAATATTAGGAACAAAGCTTTTTTGTCTCTTTTTCTGACCTCCTTCAACTCACTCTTCTGAGTGGCGGTGAGAGTTGCTTCTGCTGCAGGTGACTCCGGTTCAGTGTAGCCATTCTCCACGAGATCCCACAAGTCTTGAGAGCCGAGCAAGACTTTCATCTGGATACTCCAGTTGTCATAATTGGTCTTCATCAGCTTCGGAATCTGTGGCTGTATCATGTTCGCCATCTCGTACACGAGCACCTCCGATTGGCCCGGCTAGATCGAACCTTTCTCTGATACCATTTTGATGGAATTTGAAGAATACAACACTCTACACAAAGGAAACTTTTATTGATAGAACACTTGAGAATACAACACTTGTTCTTACAAGAACACCTCACTTTCACACAACTCCTTTATTTTGGTGGACACTCACACAAGGCTACACTACACACTCAAGCTCTCAAGCTCACTTCTTTCTTGCTTGCTTAAATGAGAGCCCAAGACCCCTATTTATAGTTGCTTAAGAGGGCTAGGAAGTGTGTAGAAGAGTTAATCCTAGCCATACATTACTAAGAAGTTTCTAGAAGAATAAATACTAGCCATACACTTGTATCTTCCTAGAAACTTCATGGTAGATATTTTGTAGGATGTTACTAGAAAGAAGTTCTAGAAAGTTGTTCTAGAATAATCTAAGTTGGTGAGGAATTCTAATAGCCCCACCCCCAACAAAAAGAGGGGAAAAAAAGAAATTACAGCAATAGACAACTCTAACCTAACTCCTAAATCCCTAATTTGAACACCAAATAAATATATGCTGTATATGCTTCTAATCATGATATAAACTTAATTCAGAACTAAAACTCTATCAAACTACGTGTAGATAAGAAATAATCATAAACAAAATCCCAACAAAATACTTATGTTAATTCTATATAATTTTCTGATATTTACATTTGGGTAAATTTCACAAAATTCCCTTAACTTTAGCAGTTTTAGAGATTGTCTCCCTAAATATTTTTATTCTATAAAAATACTCCTCAGTTTTGAGGGGTTTTGCTAACATCCCCTTGAACTTCTTTTATTCCACTAAATCACTTTAACCCCTCCAAGTAATATCATTAAGTCTAATACGTCATATGTCAAACAACGTGAATTAAAAAGATGAAAATACCCCTCAACTATAAATAAAAATAATGACAGTAACAAAAATGACATTATGGTAATTTTTAACTGCGAAGGATATTTCCATCGTTTTTCATCATGTGCTTGGTAGCTGACACGTCATGTTTGATGGTTTACTTAAGGTTTAAAGTGGAAAATCATCAATAGATTTAACAGAATAAAAGAAGTTCATAGAGGGGTTATGTGCATAACCCCTCGAAGCTAAGTTGGGGTTTTCAGAACTAAAATAGTTAAGCGGGGTTATCTCTAAACTGGCCAAAGTTAAGTGAGGGGTTTATGAAACTTACCCATTTATTTTTAAAGAAGACTGTTCTAAATGTATCTGGACTTAGGGCTTGTTTGGATTGAGGGGAATAAGGGAGAAGGGAAGTTAGGGGAATCATTCATCTTATTTGGGAACACTTAGGATGTGAAGTTATTCACCCTAGTTCCCCTTAGTTCACCCCTTAATAGTATAAAATTTGTTACCCCCAAATTGGGGTGTAACCAAGGGGAAGAGAACTCCCTTCCCTTCCCTTCCCTTCTCTCACCTAGCTTCCCTTAACTTCCCTTAACCCCATTGAAATCCAAACACGCCCTTAGTCTTGAAGCCAAATCATAACCAGTCACCTTTAATGATGAAATCGTTTCAAAAAGTGTTAATTTGCGTCAAAGGTTTGTATCTTCTAATCCCCCAAACTTTGTTTAAAGTTTGTGGACCAGCGTCTCACACCACCAACTTTTATTAGTAGAAGAACATAACAGCACTGTTCTTCTCTTTTTAGGGTCTCTCGTCTTCCGGGCTCTCTTTGTTAGCTTGCTGGTTGGTATACGCTGACTGGGACAATAATTACCAGCTTCCCTCTCTCTCTCTCTCTCTCTCTCTCTCTCTCTCTCTCATTGTCAGTTACAAAGAGAGATTCCCAGCACTTTCATTGCCTTGATCACCACTGGCGATCGACCAACCAACGCGGTCGCGCGCTAAAGTCTGCGCCCTCATATTCCTTAATTTACTCATATCACTATTTAAAGGCTTAATAGCACTTTAATGCCTTATAGTTTTTCTGCCTTACACTACATATCCTGACCTGTTTGCGAGGTCAATTATATATCCATAAGTGTCTAAAATTTAAAAATTTTGCTTCAAAGTTTTTCATATGACATTAACGAGGCAGTTTTACAACTTTTAGCTCTTAGCATATTTATTGTTAACTACACCTTAATTTTATTTTAAACATACCTCAGTTATATTCTAAAATAAAATCATGAAGGGTTTAATAATAAATCCAACAAATAGTAAAGTTAAAAATTTCTTCAACTAGTTTGCAAGGGTTTAGCAAAACTCAGGGTAAAATTCTCAAGTTTGTATAACATAAGATACTTAAATGTAGCTTTTAGAAACTTCAGGGTACAAAAATGCTGCGGAAAACAAGTAAGCGCATGTAAATGCAAGATAGGTGAATCTATAAGGAATTAAAATGCTCTTTAGCCTTATTTAAAAGCTTTTATTTTGCTTTACTCATCTTAAAGGAGTCTCGCTTTCTGCAATTAAAATAACAAAAAATAATAGTTTTTCCATGTGAAGATTGAGGTGGCCTGCTCCTCATCATTTTGTTTCTTTCAACCCCAAAGCACACTCTAGAAAGCAAACCATCCCCTTCTCTCCTCTAATAATGGCAATTACACTCAATTGAATTTCGAGATTCATTTATTTTACTCTCTAAGTAGTTACTACGCTTCTCCTTCTTTTTGAATGGCCTGAGAAAATTCTAGCTTGTGCTTGTCCGCCTTTGTTTTCTTCTCCTTGTAGTATTTTTTTTTCTTTTTTCTTTTTTCTTTTTTTTTAAATATTGTACATTGCGTTCTTATCTAATAGCTTGTCCTGTTATCTTTTTCTTGCGTTAATCGATTTGGGCAGTTGCGTGTTCGGTTTCTCCGAAGAAACTTGGCAGTTTTCTTTCTCTCTCTTATTATATATCTATAATCTATAATATATATATCTATCTCTAAATATTAACATAAAAATTTCATTTTCTCACGTTTTTCTTACTGTTTCAAAATCCACAGACATCAGGGTGAAAATTTCGGAGTCGGTTACATCTACCCCAAAAACACAAACAGCCGCGTTGACGGCGGCGTTCTCGCTTCCACGAAGTTTTCCACAAATTCAGCAACCGACACTGGAAAACCCTCATAAAAAATAACCCCAAATTCCAGATTTGAACATTGTTATTCAATTTGAAAGATTGCAAATTTGTTTGATGGGAGGAAAGAGTTCAACGGAATCCGGTGGAAGAAGCTTCAATCGAAGGTCTTCGTTCCAAGATCGGAGCTTTTCGCAGCAGCAGTCATGGAATCAAGCTCCGAGTTATCAGGCTTATCCTCCTCCTCAGTCTCCGGCGTCAACGCAAAGCTTTGATTCTTATTCTCAGCCTTATGGGTATCCCCCACCTCAGGCGTACCCGCCGCCGCCTCAGCCCCACCCTCCGAAGCAGACTTCTTCTGCATCGAGGCCACGGCCGAGGTTGGATAGGAGGTATTCACAGATTGCCGATAACTACAGATCCCTCGAACAGGTATATCCTCTGATTGCTCATTGGTATAGTTTTTGTTGTATCTATGCATGAAGAGATTAGTCTTACGCCTCGTTTGGTACGTGGGAATGATTGGGAATGGAATGCCAATTCTCACTTTTCATTCCGTTGTACCAAACATGACCTCATATTGGAAGTCTTAAGTGGGAATTAGATGGTAGGGAATGAGCATTCCCACTTAAGTGAAAAGGAGGGGGGAAAAATACAAATTTTCAAATAAGTTCATTCCTACTTTATTCTCTAAAATTGCGCACAAACATGAGAATGGAAATTAGCATTCCGTTCCCCACATTATTTCTGTTCCATTCCCTTTCTCATTCCATTCTTGCTTCACTTGATTCCCACATACCAAACGAGCCGTTATAGTATTGAAGTTGGTGAACCCTGTCATAGATTTTGTGTGATATGATACATTATTTTGCAGATATCAAAAGGTGGTCTTTAATTATCTCTAGGAGTAATAGTTTATAATGTAGATTCTTGTCCAATTTTTCTTAAAATATAAAAATTGAGAACTCTTGTTTGATACCTAGAATTATGTTTTTTGATGAGTTTATCCACATATAAAATCTATGTGATATTGGCTATTGTCATTATATGTCTTTTGTGAGATTTTTGTCAGTTGTAGTTTTGAAAGAAGAGAGGAATCTTATGGTGATGTTGGCATACCATACCTTAGATTTTGTGTGATATTATGAATCATTCTAAAGGCATTAAAAGGCTTATTCTTTTTATCTTTTTGATTGGAATATTCGACTATTTTTATCCAATCTTTGTGTAAGGATTTAGAATTTGAGTGACTTTCATTTGATACCTACAATTTGCATGTTATCATGCTTTTTACGGGCTCTTTCTAGTAGTTGCTGAATGCAACTGGTTAATTGTGTGTTTTTATTTTTTATTTCTTTTATTTTTTTATTTTTACTGCAGTTAATTTTCTTGTCTCTTCTTTGTAGGTTACTGAGGCTCTTGCACAAGCTGGTCTGGAGTCTTCAAATCTTATTGTTGGCATTGACTTCACTAAGAGCAATGAATGGACAGGTCTATAATCCTTGTAATTCTTTTAATAGTTTTGCTCATTTGGCTGTAATTTCTGGTCTTAACTTCTTAGATAAACAGGTAAACATTCATTCAACAACCGCAGCCTTCACTACATTGGTGATGTTCACAATCCTTATGAACTAGCAATCTCTATCATTGGTAGAACACTGTCAGCATTTGATGAAGATAATTTGATCCCTTGCTTTGGTTTTGGAGATGGTAACTTTATCTTCTATTCTTAAAAGATATTATGTTATTTAACAGTATCTGATTAGATGATATTATTCATTTGGCAGCAAGAACACATGACCAAGATGTTTTTAGTTTCTTTCCTGATGAAAGGCCATGCAATGGTTTTCCGGAGGCTCTGTCACGATACAGAGAACTTGTGCCACAGATAAGATTGGCTGGTAGTTTCTTATGTTATCTAAAACTTACTGGCACATGTTATCTTGTCTTTGAATTATATTCATTAGAGATTCATATCTTTTGTTTGTTTTTAGGGCCAACATCATTTGCTCCCATAATTGAGATGGCTATGACTATTGTTGAACAAAGTGGAGGGCAGTATCATGTTCTGGTGATAATTGCTGATGGACAGGTATATGCTTTGTTCGTTCTGGATTGCGTTTCTTATTTGAACTTTGTCTGCAGTGGTAAGGATCCTGGTTTATACATTATAGTAGGCAGTGCAATTACATGCTAGATGTGTGACCTCTTTTATCATAGTTTAGCTTCCCAAATGCTATTGGCTAGACCATTTACATCTATGCTGATAGTTATTGCTGACATGACTGTTGTAAATGCCCTTTTCACAGCCTATCCAACAATGTACATCTAGATTTAACATTACTTCATACATGTATAATGCAGATAAAGTTACCTAGGAAGCTTGAACGACCAGCAAAGAACATAGAATCATATATCACAGGATACTGTTGCACTGCTGATGCTTAAATAGTAGGAGTTGGGGACACCAAAATTTCTGCTTGAGTTGTTACTGGTGACTATAGATGTTTTCATTAAAAGTAGAGAAGAAACTAGTTCTTAATGATTTAACATCTACATATCTATTATTAAACCAAAAAGATGTAGTATAAATACAAGCCATTAGTGCTTCTCAAAATTTTGGAATGTGATCGACTTATGACAATTTTCAACCTAGGTTACTGGACTCTTTATTTATTTAAGGTGGTCATTGCTTCTTCATGTCCAACACTATCTCGGACTTTTCTTAAAGCGGAAATGATTCTGGCAGAAAGCTGTTCATTGTTGGTCCTTCTAAAACTGATGTTATTCTGATGTGCATGCTACATATCCAATACTCTTGACATAAGGATCAGCTTAAAGTGTCTGTGTCTTCTAGAAAATTATTGTTACTATTTATAGATGTATCTTTCAAAAGTAATCATTTGAAATTTATACATGGAATTTTTATGTTGTTTAAATAGTCTATAGATGGAATAATTATGAACTAAGTACCAATCAGAAGATATCGTATTCCTACCTGAGATGTGTCAAGTGTCCACTCAAAAGAATTATGCTTTTATCAGAAAGTGTATAGTAACAAAGAAGGAAGTTAAACAATGTCAAAGTTTTGGATAATGTAATATTATAGTGAATAAAATGTGGAAAGCTGTAAGCAGTAGGATAAAATAAAAGCCTATGCAAGTTCAGAACACAGAAAATGTTACAAAAATATAAATAGTGAAAGCTGGAATTAATACTTGTCCAGTTCACATTGGCCAAGTTTTATAGATACATTAAACAATTTCTCATCTCCTTCCGACCTATATATGTTACAGAGCTTTAATATTGATTTTCTAGGTTCATATAAAAAACATTAGAGATTAAGTCTATTGGTTCTCGTTATTGGATGTTACCTTAGTATATATAGCTTGCTTTACTTCTCTGCAATAACATTAGCAGGATAAGAATACAGGTTGGAGTTAGAATTTATTAGGGTGAAGTGTGGATAGATCTCCTGTAGTAGCGCCCAATTGTGGATAGACCCCCTGTACTTCTAACTGTGCAGATAGACCCTCTGAGTGAAATGTTTTTCACTCTTAGAAAATTATTTTTATCTTCTATTTTTTAATTTTTTTTTGTAGAGGCGATTGACCCCTCCAGTTCTATTGGTGTGGATAGACCCCGATTGCTAAGTTTCTTCTTTACTCTTAAAAGAGTTCAAAAAAGGGTCACCGAGGGGTCTATCCACACTTGGGCAAATAGTGCAGGGGGCCCTATCCGCAATTAACCTAATTTATAAACAAGAGAGCTGTGTGATTTTCCAGCAATCAGGATGATAAGATGTTTGCAAATAATAGATTGAAGGTAATGCTCACAAGTCTAAAAGTCTAGCAGTGTTTTAATTTTTTAGGAAGATATAAGGGTCCTACTTGTACAATTTTCATGGGTGAAATTGTTTTCTGCAAAGATAGTAGTGATTTCGCATCACTTCTCTTTGTGGTGGAATTCACTGAGAGATTTATTCTAATATATATTGTTTGCGCCAAACTGATTACTCTTGCTTGGAAAGAAGCTAATAAGATTGGTACATTTAGAAGATTATTCTCAAACAATCTTGCATGCATGTGGTTGTGAATTCAAATCAGATGAATGACCCATTTGGGAATTATTGCTGTTAGATGTATTTCATGTTTCCTCTCCATCTACCAACATAAACTTGTGAAACCTCCTGTTGTGGTGAAATATTTCCTTTGGATTTTATCAACTTAGCTTATCAGTCAGCATATAGACCAATTTAAAATCCAAACTAGCTACAGATGAATGTTTCTAATCTTAGCCCTCATGATTGTCAATTCTTATTAAAGAATTCGTCTTCACATATAAACTTATAAAAGCTTTGTTTCTCAAAGAACTCCAAAGGTGCAGTAATGCATATGCTAAAACACACTAACCTTTACCTTGACGAACCAAAACTAACAGACAATAAGTAGAAGTCTAGTGCTCTGATTAAGTATTTTCAATCCTACTGCATATTTCTTATGATATGTCATGGCAGCCATTTAAAAGATACTGCTTTTATCCTTCACAAACTAAGAAGGAGATTCTGAAGTATTCTATACATAAGAGCAATATCCGAATCCTTCTGTGTCAAAGACTCTCAATGGATTGCAATAGTGTTTTAATAACTTTTTTTAAAGACCTTGGATGAGTTAATGTTGCATGGGAGAATTCCAATAGGGAGAGGGAAAAAAACATCTATATCACCAGCCTCTTCCTGTGTTACTTTGAGAAAAAATAACTGCATATAAGGAAAAATACTGACTTACTAAATAAAATTTTAGGTTATCTTATTTTTTACTTGGATAATAGTTAACTATGTGTTAAACAACAAAGACAATATAATTTTACATCATCAGATCGACTTATGAACCCTATCAGCTAGAGTATGAATTTACGTTTTAGTTGTTAGACGTGTGTATTAGCACCTTGGTTTGCTTCAAAGCTATATAATTTGTCAAAAAATATTATATACTCAGTTCGTATAGAGTTTAGGATTTTTTTTAAGCGTTACTTGAAACTCAATTGTCATGTATAGTATATACTAGTGCTATTTCTATTGCAGTATTAATAGTGGACATACATGTTTTTGAGTTTTCGTTTCTTATATGAAACCTCATGCATTGTTCGACAAGCTCAGGTATGCAATAAATTCTGAGTTCCTTGAAATTTTATTTTTTGTGGGCACTAAATTACAAAACAGGGAAATACTTCCACCCTTGCACATTCTTAACCATGTGTTACCCCTCAGTCGAGTGCCACCAAAATTCTTAAACCTATTGGATCTTCACCCTATATTTTTTATTACCCATTTTTTACATTATCTCTCTCTCTCTCTCTCTATATATATATATATATATAGAGAGAGAGAGAGAGAGAGAGAGAAAGAGATTAATGAGTATCCTTGTCATAGGAGGGGAAATACTTCCACCCTCACGCTTATGTGACACAATCCCCATCATCCTCATAAAGTAGGAGAGAGAGTGTGAGTTAGTGGGGATTTGTGCCTACTTTATGAGGATGGTGGAGATTGTGCCACATAGGCGACAAAGAGAAATCTCCTCCTATGATAAGGATACCCATTAATCTCATATATATATATATATATATACCCAACACAAATACCTTCCCAACCGGTCAACACAATCTTATGTTACCAGGTACTTCTATCATTAATCTGTTTGCGTAATGGACATGTATCCCATACGTACACGTACCCAGACTTCATGGACACATCTTGGATATATGCATGCATTTATTCACACGTGCTCAATTATATCATATATGTTTCAATTCAAAACACTTGTCAAACACTTTTTGGATGATATCCTACACCACATCCATTTCTTGAAACTCATTAGACATGGGTCGGGTTCAGTTCAACCAATACTCAAATTCAAAACTATGATTTTAAAGGGTCATTTGGTTGTCTAGTTAAAAAACGAGTAGTTTTCAATTGATAATAATCAACATAACAAAAGACACTTCAAAATGTGATAGGAATTTTAATTTTAACTACACAAGAATATTAAAAACAATAATGATCTCATGTAAATTATTAATTTCAAAATATATATGTAGTTGTGCCCTTGTATCCTATATTTTATAATTTTGCCTTGTACTATACCGGCACTGTTACCCGTTTCCATGCAACTTAGACCCTATCCAAACACCCACTAAAAAAAGGAAAAAGTTCCCACTCTCTCATATCAAACACCCCCTTCCTAAACACATTCCCAACCACCAGAATCTAAACCCGACTCCATTACTTCTTTATTTTATAGATTTTCTTACTATTTTCTTTTAATTTAAGGTAAATAAAAACTTATAAAATGTAGATAGGTAAAAGGTAACCATATTCATATGCAAAGTGTAGAAATTATATATAGGCATAACTATTTTTAGGGTTAATTACGAATAGAACGCCTGTAATATTACCCAATTGTAAATAGACCCCCCTATAGTTCTATTTGTTGCAAAGGGACTGATGCGGTACTCTGATACCAAATGATGCGGGACGGAGAAATGCCGGAACCCTAGGATGAACAATATCCGTGAACAATATCTTTTCTTTTCTTGTTTATTTTTGTATAAAATAAAAGACGTACAAAGTAAGATAAAATGAGGTTAGATCATATTCACTCACAGACATCGAACCGTTAGTAAAGTCAGATTCACACGCTGACACTTGACCCTTTTGGCTTGACATCGAGAAACAGTGGCTTCCACCTTAAAAAATCACACAAGATTTTTTCAACTCAATTTTCATAAATTTTTCATAAGCTGTCTACCACATTACAGAAATCTCCTCCTTCTTTTATAGAGTTTGGAATTCTTATCTAAAATAAATTTAAAAACTTATCCTATCTCTAAAACCAATTCAATCTTAACTAGAAAATGATCCAACAAACTCAATCCTACCACAATTCAAATTAAAACAACTAAACAAAATAACTAATTGTCACCTATCTAAAACCAAAACCAAATCAAAATTGTTGATGTCAGTTATGAAACAGGGGGTTTACATCAGAGTTATGAGAGTGTTTAGGATCCTCAAACTCCTTCAGATGACTAGTTCCAGAGCCTGTTGTTCTTTCCTGTACATAAAAACTCGTAAGAAAGACATTGTATAGGTAGTATTTTGATTAGTGGGAAAATCAAAGACATTGTATAGGTAGTTATTCAAAGTTGCCAAAAAGCAAAAGAAGTTACCTTATGCAGCGTAATTCTCTTTTATCGTAGATCAAGTTAGTATTTTGATTAGTGGGAAAATCAAAGACATTGTATAGGTAGTTATTCAAAGTTGCCAAAAAGCAAAAGAAGTTACCTTATGCAGCGTAATTCTCTTTTATCGTAGATCAGAAGGGTATGAAGGTAATTTTGGTCGAATCCAGTCAGGCTGCTAAGTCGGCAAATACCTTCCAGTTGACTGCCATAGAAGAAGGTGAGTTATCTGGTCATTTAATGAGGGAATGACAGCAGGTGTTTGGGGCTGACAGGGTCTGATGAGTCATAAAAACTATGAGGACTAGAGTAATGATGATTTTGTCAGAATAGTTAATGCGGGAGCAATCAGCTGGCGAGAAGTTCGAGGTAACTATTGTCTCTCTATTTATTTGGTCAAGGGCCGAGAAGCATCGTCTTTTTTGTCGGCCTCACAAGTTGTCGGCTGACCGTAGACCTAGTGCGGGTTGCTCGTAGGGTCAATCGGGTGAGGTGGTCGACAAATACCATCTTTTGATTCAGCTACGCAACTTGTCGGCTGACACATGATCGGCCGTAGGAGTAGTTTGAGTCGTCTCGGTCTCAATTCGTATGATAAGGCAATGGGGTGAGCCACGTGTCGGCTTCTCTAGGGAGATTAGCACTTGGTGATTTTTTATGCTATAACAAAAATCATAACAATGTCTTCAATCCAGATCAAATCTGAATAGTGATTGTGTCTTGCATTAGAAACCCCCTATAGTATTGGCCCAAGTGTGAATACATCCCCTTAGTGAATTTTTTCAACTATTTCAAAAGTAAGAAAATTAGCAATTGGGGGGGTCTACCTCACCAATTGAACTATAGAGGGTCTACTCGCCTCCTCAAACCTTTAATTGACTTTAAGAGTAAAAAAATTCAGTCAGGGGGTCTATTCGCCACAAACAAAGTTATGAGGGGTCTATTCGCAGTTGGATGATACTATAGGGGGTTTGTTTGCAGTTAACCCGTATTGTTATGAAAGTTGATAGAAACATATGAAAGGTAGATATACCATATGAAAAGTGTACAAAGATAGAAAGATTTGGAAGAAATATATTAAGTAGACAGATTTATTTGAAAAGTTTAGAGATTCTATAGAGGTAGAAGATTTATGAAAGGTAAATAGAAGCATACAAGAGATAGATAGAAACATATGAATGATAGACATGTTCGGACTTATTATATATAGGCAGAGAAATTCATATGAAAGGTAGATAAAAGCATATGAAAGGTGGATAGAAACAGTAGAAAAAGTAGATGATTTCATATGAAAAGCAGAATGATTATTGAGTTGTGGATGGATCTGTATGAAAAATGGATGGAATAAATGAAAATAGATACGTTAATAGGAAAGGTAGATTTATTATAAAATAGACAAAAGGCTGAAGGATCAGCAGCGGGAGGGTGCGTGAGTGTGAGGTGGAGTGGTGGTGGAAGGGAAGAAAAAAGAGAGATGACAGAAACAAGGTTATTATTGAATTTTATAAATAAAGTGATGTAAAAGTGGTCTAGGAAGGTTTTACAAGTTGACATAAATTATATTTTCTACAGACATTGTCATTAGTGATTTTAAAATAGTTGACTAGAAATCTGGGTGATTACGTTCACGGTCCTTTCTAAATCTTGTTGCTGTTTCGGAATTTAGACTGTACTTAGGTGCTTGTGTTCCATTAAGTAGCAGATGACTTTGTTCCAGGTTAAAAAACATAAAAAGTAATGATACGGAGGCCAGTATACCAAATTAACTACATTCTAATAGATCAATTACCGTGCTAATGGAATTAATTTATATCAATATATCTTTCAACAGCTGAAGTGGGTAATTTAGAGAATGCGTAACATGACTAGTGCTTCATTGCACTTCTGTGATATACTTGTAGCATATGCCTGGTTATTATTGTTTCGCCGTTACTTGTATGCATTTTTTCTTAGTTATTCTCATACTATAGCAAAATGTAAAAAATGATAAAACGGCCAAACTTTCAGGGTGTATTTTTTGTGTCGACTGAACTACCTGTTTTCTGCTCCTTACAAATTAAACCACTCTGTTTATTCGTAAAATAAAATGACAACAATGAAAAAACAAAACTATACTGTCTTCAGGTTATCTTCCGAGTTGTTTCATGCTATAGTTACATATAGATTTCTTTTCCTAATTATAAGTTCATTTGAAGCATCACCTTACTCTGGAATTTATATTTTACTCTTCTTTTTTTATTATATATGTTTTTCCTCTTCGAAGTATATTATTTTATGCATATTCTAGCTATTTAGTTGTGGTTGGTCAATTTTCTTGTTTGGGAGTAACAGTTGGTCTACTCAGGTTACAAGGAGTGTAGATACAGAGTCTGGTCAGCTAAGCTCCCAAGAACAGAAGACTGTTGATGCTATTGTAAAGGCTAGGTAATTGTGATCCAGAACACTTTATGTTACTCTTTATGTTGCTTATGATAACTATGAAAAGAAAAATCTTGTATAATTATCTGATGGAATTTATTCCATCCGACATTATGGTGGCTTAATATTATTCCCGTTCTGTGAGAAACATTATTCGTTTGTAAGTAGCTTTCAAAGAACTCTACAGTGAAATGTTTGTTTTTCTCTTGATTCTTCATTACTTTGTCCCCTTGTTTTGCAGTGAATTTCCTTTGTCAATTATTTTAGTTGGAGTTGGGGATGGTCCTTGGGACATGATGAAGGAATTCGATGACAACATTCCTGCCAGAGCCTTTGACAATTTCCAGGTAAGGGTTGAATATTTCTAAAAGACATCTTTTCTCACACTTAACCTTTCTCCTCTAGTTTGCTAATTATTTTGCTTTTTAGTTTGTAAATTTTACAGAGATCATGTCGAAAAATGTTCCTCAAACCAAGAAGGAGACAGAGTTTGCTCTTTCAGCACTAATGGAAATACCTCCACAATACAAAGCAACAGTAGAACTTGGTATCTTGGGGTATGAAGTGTTCTATTTTGTTGCCTTTTATTTGCTTTCCATTTATTCATAGCATGTGTTTGTAACTTTTTTCTTTTGTGGTTAAACAGACACAGGACAGGAAAATCTCCAGACAGAGTTGCTCTTCCACCACCAGGTGGAAGTTATGGTGCCCCTTCCCTGAGCTCTAAATCTTTTGGAACAGAAAGTTATCCCCAACAGAGCACATCATTTTATCCCGAATATAAACCTCCAGAAAGTACTGCTCCACCTGTTGCTCCTTCATTGGATGATCAAGTACGATCTTTGTGGACTTGTTCCTCTTTTATTTATGTGCATAGATAACATTGCATTTATATTTGATAGTTGAGTTTGTAATTGGGACTGCACAAATCTGGCTATTTAAGAGGAATTTGTAGGGTAAGGACTAGCAAACGAAAATAGTGCTAAATTCAAGGTGGTTTAGTTCTTAACTCAATACTTGATTTTTATATTGGATCCATGAGCATTCTATGTAAACTTGCTCTTCTAGAAAGAACAAGGAAGGAAAATAAGAAAGGAAAAATTATAGATTTCCCAAGAAGGAAAATACAAGCTTCCAAAACAATGGATTAACTAATTATTTGAACCAAATAGATCTAAATCCCAACTAATCTCCAATTAAACCTCAGTCAATTTTTTTTCCCAGTTAGGAGGTAAAAACCAAAGCCTTTGGATCAAATGAAAATCTTCTACGTTTTGCCAGAATTATCACGATCAAATCTCGCCATGTAGCTGAAGTTTCATGAATTGAGTGGTTTGTTATGTGAAATGCAGCAGCATTTTATTTATGTGCTTACTAGAACTTGTGGGTTATTCAGCAGGTTTGCCCAATCTGCCTTACAAATCCGAAGAATATGGCCTTTGGCTGTGGACACCAGGTGATGTATTTTGTATAGTCTTGTCAATTCTCTTCATTTTCAGTGTTCACATTGTTCTGTATTTTTACATTCTTCCCTCTACTTAATAAAGCAATTCTTCCATTGTTTCAGACATGCTATGAATGTGGACCTAACCTTCAGGCATGCCCTATCTGCCGAAGTGAAATTGTGACGAGAATACGGCTATATTGATCTGGAATGCATTTATGCAGTGAGATTTTATGTTCTTCTCTGTTGTGGGGTCGTAAATTTCTTCAACCCATTTGCGGTAGTTTTTCTTGTACATTTATTCTGCTTGTACATTGAATAGATAGAAAAGAATTCGAAGAGAGTCTATGGAAAGAATCTTGTTGTTTGCAGTAATCAGACAGCTGAAGATGGTCGAAAACCTCTTAAGGTTGATGAGTTGCTGGCTGGTTTCCTTTCAGGTTGATAAATTCTGGGGTCCGAATATCAAGGGCTTTATATGTTGGAATCAAATCATTCTTTATCCTTGTCCAAATTCTGTTGCGTTTGGTGTCTGAATGTGCGTGAAATGTGTGCAATTAAACACGTTGCATGTAGTATCTGGTCGAATGTAGTTAGTTTTGACCGAGGTGTTTCCTTATGATAAATATTTATCATGCGTTTGTATATGCTTCTGCATTTTCATATTCTTTTCGGATAGTTGAAGCTTTCCCTTTTGTACTTTTCCAAGTGTATGTGCAACTCTTAAAAGATTTTCAAGTACTTTATTTTTTTCCCTATTGAGTTGTCATTACTAGCAACAAAGTTTTATCAATGTGTATGCTTAATGGTTCAATCAGCTCTCCTATCATGGTTCTTTGATATCATTTTGCTCATCTCTCAGCGGCGATGGCAGTGAAGATACTGTAGCAGTGAAAAAGAAAAGTATATTGAGTAAACTTCTTAATGAAGTATAATTGTATCCATGGCTCTTTTTTGCTTGCTGAATTATGATTGTAATAAGGTCAGGTTACTTTGAATCGGCATGATGCGGAAGTGCGAATTCAGTAATCCAGGTGAATGGTTTAGGGCCTGCTTTTTCTTGATGGTTACTCCTAACAAGTGCAAACTGTCAAAGTTTTTGGTGTTTTTTGTGCATGGTGATCATCTACTTGTTCTGATTATAATTAGTATTAATTTGACAGGAACGTAACTGGAAAATTTTAGTTGCTTGATACTTGACAGGCAACATTGCCTCAGCTGTGAACCGCCTCTTCATAAATTCCTGAACAGCAGCATGCATGCAGAAATTCATCTCATCAACCTTTATAGTTTATTTAAACGATATTATAGTTTATTTAAACGATATGTTAATCTCATGATTCTTCCCCTCTTTTGAGTAACAATGTTAACCACATCGCAGTCTCAATTACATATATCGTTCTGATTTTAGAAGCCAACAAAGCAAGTTCTCTTTGAATGAGCTCGGAAAGGACGCACAAGCCATCACATCTGCATTTAACATGAAACCTGCGGACAATTTTCACAAATGTAAAGACTGCCTCCTTACATCTCCTTATTTAACCCATATACAAACATTTATGCATTATCTATACTGGTGATCAATATGCATATCTTGTTCATAATCTCAACACTCCTTTCTTTACTGAGAATGGCTGCAAGCACCATTACTGACAGAGGAGGAAGATGGGACCTCCTCCTCAACAACTCCGGCGTTGTCGCCATGCACATGGCCTTAACTCACCGCAATACCGTCGTCATCTTTGACCAAACCCGATCTGGCCCCTCCGGCTACCGCCTTAATTCAAGAAAATCATGCTACTTCAACGACGATGGTGACACCAATGACAATCCCACCACCTGCTGGGCCCACTCCGTCGAATACGACATCTCATCAAACACAATCCGCCCCCTTGTCCTTCGTTCTGACACGTGGTGCTCATCCGGTGCCTTCCTCAGCAGCGGCACTCTCCTTCAGACCGGCGGCCACGGAAATGGAATCCGAAAAATCCGATACTTCCGTCCTTGCACCGATAAAAAATGCAGCTGGACCGAGTCTAAGTCTTTGCTGGAAGATAGCCGGTGGTACGCCACCAATCAAATCCTCCCAGAGAAGGACAGGGTTTTCGTCATCGGCGGCCTTAAAGTCTTCACGTATGAATTCATACCCAAATCTCCGAATGACGAAGGGTCCTTCAACCTCCCCTTCTTGCGACAGACACGAAACTACAAGGAGAAAGGTGATAATCTCTACCCGTTTGTTCATCTCTCAGTTGACGGCCACCTCTTCATCTTCGCCAATCGTGATTCTATCTTATTCAACTACAAAACCCACAAGGTGGCCAAGGAATTTCCGAGAATGCCTGGTAATGGTGCTCGTAGCTACCCGGGCACGGGCTCGTCTGTCATGCTCCCATTAGACTATGCCGACGGATACAACAAAACTGAGATCATGGTTTGTGGTGGAGGAGCTCCCGGAGCGTACCAAGCTTCAAGGAAACACAAATTTCTTGAAGGATTGAAAAGTTGCGGCCGGATAGTTATAACTGACGACGATTCAAGATGGCTGATGGAAGAAATGCCAGGGCCTCGAATAATGAGTGACATGCTCATACTCCCCACCGGTGACATTCTCATCATCAACGGCGCACATCAGGGGTGCGCCGGGTGGAATAAAGCAAAAAGGCCAGCCTATAAGCCTTACCTCTACAAGCCCAACAAGAGACCATCAAAAAAGAGGTTCTCAATTCTCAACTCGTCAAATATCGCAAGAATGTATCACTCCTCGGCAATATTGCTCCCTGACGGTAGAATCCTAGTAGCCGGAAGCAATCCGTATAAAAGATACACATTCCATAACGTCAAATATCCAACGGACCTACGAATGGAGGCATTTTCGCCATATTATTTAGATACGGCATTGGACGATCGGAGGCCTTCGAATGTATCGGTCGACGATGAAATCAAGTATGGGCAAGAGTTTGGGGTAAAATTTGAGCTGAAGAATGTGAGGAGATGGGTGAAGTTTGTTGTGTATGCTCCGCCGTTTGCAACACACTCGTTGTCGATGAATCAGAGGATGGTGAGCTTGGAGTGTGTTGGGATTGAGAGGGAGGAGAGTGGTGCGGTGACGGCTATGGTGGTAGCGCCACCGTCGGCGAGAGTGGCGCCTGCAGGGTATTATATGTTTACAGTTGTTAATGAGAGGGTGCCTAGTAAGTCAGTGTGGGTTAAGTTTGTTCATGGATGAGGCGTGGTTGGGTTGTTTTGTGGTGTAATAATTAAGATTGAACGATAAATAATTAAAATGAAGAATTTGTTGAAATCTAAAAAACATTTTGTTGATATCTAAAAGATATTTTGTTGATATCTAAAAGACAAAATGTACGTGGACATTACTTTGTAAGTGGATTATTAACTTGATGTCTTTTTATCTTCCATCATGTATTTATAAATTGTATCATGTATGGAAATTGAATATGAATAAAATTACAATTTCTCTTGTCTCTTGTCTCTTGTTTCATTTCTTTAGTATATTACAACACGTTATCAGCACGAGTGGCTCTAGCCGGTTCGTGATCATCGGTTCGTAGTAATAGATTTTTAGGTGTACATCTTCTGCAAGGTAATAATATATTCGGCCTTTGTCTATTTACATAGTATCAAGCTTTCCGTCGAATCAATAGCAAATATTTTTTTTAGTTATCCCCTGTAAGAGCTGCTGGCAAATTTCATTGGATATTGTTAGTTTTAGTTAAGTTTCTTATCTATAGTTTTACCTTAGTCTTGGGAACTTGTTTACAAATATGGATATTCTAAAAGAATATGGATTTTGCACATGGTAATGCATTTACAAATTTACTGAGATAGAAGGATTGATGAATTGACAATAAGTAATATTTTATTTCTCCTTCTATATCATGAATGCCATAACAACTTCTGGAGACATTACATGAGGAAGGAGCAGCCTGTATATTCCTTCGATGACTATGCTAAACCACTATGTTCTTGATGCTAACATGTGAGCTGTGTCTATAGTATATAATTATTTGAATTATTTTCTACTTCATCTAAGTTCTTGATGCTAACATGTGAGCTGTGTCTATAGTATATAATTATTTGAATTATTTTCTACTTCATCTAAGCCATATAGTTTTGTGATTATTATAGCGAACTTACAATCAATTCCCTGTACTGGATGATCTTACGTACATTAGTCATGTGTAGTATAAAAAAAATTTGATTGTCCTATCCATCTTTGGCATTTGAACTGTATGAACCTAGGTATGAGAAATGTGTTCATCCATGTCTATAAGGAAGGTTATATAGGAGGGATGCTTCAATTGATCAAATCTATGAATTTCAGATATATATATCTTTTAAGGACTCAGTGTGCGGGATGAGTAGAACTAATATAGTACTGTTATCATTTTTCTAACTTACAAATATTTGTAATTTACAAATATGGGTGACACAACATAAATAGCTGGATGTAAATTGCTGCCAATTAAGATTTACAAGTGTGAAGTTGGTATGAACATAAATAGCTGGATGTAAATTGCTGCCAATTAAGATTTACAAGTGTGAAGTTGGTATGAGTCTGAGATTACAATTACAGCATGTCTCATTGTAGAGTTTTGTTACACCTTATTATAGAACTCTAACGACATGGAGGAAATAAGAGAAAGCATTATTGTGGTTAATCATGTGATGGTTACCTTCTTGTTTGAGTTCCAAACTTAAAAGAAAAACATGCGCATGAGCATAAATTGCTAGATTAATAGTCTCAACTATGAGTTTCTTTTCTTTTCTTCACCCCAGCAGGGCCTTTCTCTCTTTTCATCTATTTTTCTTTATTGTATGTGTAACTTAAGTCGAGTAAATCTAGACTAACTCTAACAGAGTACCCCCAGCATTTATAATTGGACCCCTTCATGCTGACAGCTCGTATTAAAATAGTCTTGTGTAACAATACTGTAGCAGTCTTTGAAATTTTATCTTCTAATGATAATTATAGCAAATAAATGTTATCAGAAGATGTATAATATTTTTCGGTTTCATGTATATTAACTGCGTATGATGTTAAACTTTGACAAATATGTCCTCTTTAGCCCAAATGGTAATTTTCATCTTGTTATCAGAAGATTATATCTCTTGATTCTTTAAGTATTTTTGCCCAGAAGGCAAACACTTTAAATTTTCTCTCTATCAATTAAGACGTGAAAAATTAATGCCTCAATGAAAAAGTATTCACTTTTCTGGGCAATCCCTGAAGGATCTCTTTGATTTATAGAAGCCAAGAATCTTCCCTTAAACACAACTGGCAGACTGAATCAGAACTTTTTGGATTTTACATACATAACTAAATATGATTCAACCATGTGCCATATTGTCTAGCGGGTGAAGCTCGCAGAATTGGTCAAAAAGATTTTTTACCATTGCATGCAAATAATATTGTACTCCAGCAGCAGTACATGACCAAGAATTGCACTTAGCATTCTGAATTGATATCTACATTAATAGTCGCAGAAAAGCATAACAAATTGATGATTAGAAATCACAATGTCAGACTAGTTGGCTTACGAGTTGTGTTTGTAGCACATGCTACAATTCAGAAAATTACTTATACGTGTGGACAAGGGGGAGCTATGAACATAGTAGGAGATCGTATCATGTAGCCATTTTTTTGGGATTTTAAATCCTCGATTGAATGAAATTCAACAAGTAACATTGTACCCTTGCAGTAGTACAAAGACTAAAAGTTATATTAAGCATTATGAACTAATCATTGCATTAGTAGTTGTTAAAAATACAACTAGTTGTTGTGAGAAACCATAATGCAAGTTTAATTGGTTCACACGTAGTGCCTGAAGAACATGTCATAATTCAAACTAATATTCATAAGCTTGGACGAGGGGGAGATAGTGGACATTGAAGTGGATCCTAATATTCATAAGCTTGGACGAGGGGGAGATAGTGGACATTGAAGTGGATCTTATCGAGATGGTCAAGGTAAACTATTTGGTTTTTCTATATTTGGAAGATAGTGGACATTGAAGTGGATCTTATCGAGATGGTCAAGGTAAACTATTTGGTTTTTCTATATTTGGCTTATATACATTTGTCAGACAATTTTGATTTAACTTGAGTTTGCTTTAAACTCTTATGAACCTATGTGGTTCTTATTTATACACTTTAGAATTTGTATAACCTAAAATACACCATGTTACGATGAGTTTGAGATTTAGGGACCCAAATTCTTTTAAATTCTGGCATGAGCGATTGGGTCATCTTGGGCAAAATATGATTTGTCGGATTTCCTTAAATTAAATGGGGGCATTCAAACCAAATCCGACCAACTACATATCACAATTCCCTCCCCTTTATCTAATACGTGGTGAAGAAGCGAAACATTTCCCATCTGCGTATTCTTTATTTGCAGTCCATGTTTCGATATCACCACCATAGCGTACCTCTATGGGACCTCAGTGAAGGTACATACATTATTTATGAAACTCCGTCAATAATTTAGTACCAATGGCCCATGTTAGGGGATCAATTTACAATTTGGTACGTTGACTGTATTTTTATTGAAGATCAATTCTCGACATTAGGGGGAGATTAGTGCCCAAAATACAAAATAATGTCAAAAAATTCCATTGATGAAAAAGATCTTTAATATTTATATACACGTACTAGTCAAACTGAACCAGAAGTTCACATGATAATCTGCTAAGAAAAGAGTGACTAAGCCCCATATTCATGTTGAGTATATCATTGATGATTTGGTATGCTAGAAGCATACTGAGCCAGAAGCATATAAAACATGTTAGTGTAAAAGATAAAAGTCCGCGACAAACTAAATTCTATATAGAAAGACAGTCACTCCCATAACCTCCGGAAGAGGTTCATCCTGAAGATGGAATCTCCAGTAAAGTTGCACGTGCTTGATAATCACAATACTGGAGATGCGGAATGACCAAATCCAATTGTTAAGGGAAATGACGAGGATTTGGTCATAAAATAAGAATTGAAGTGGCCACAAATTTGTGAAAAAGGAGAAGTATATAATAGAAATATAAAAGTTGTCGACAACATTGTTGCCTCTATAGTTGATCTTACTATCTCCGAAAATAATCTGGATCCAGAACCTAAGTCGGTAGCAGAGTGCTTGAAGCACTCGGACTAGGTGAGATGGAAAGTGGCAATTGAGACTGAGCTGAACTCGCTAAAGTATTTTGAACCTGTAGTCCATATATCCCTACAGGATATAAATGGGTCTTCGTAAGAAAAATAAATAAGAATTGTAAGGTGGTGAGATATAAAGCGAGATTCATAGCTCAATGGATTCACGCAGAGACCCCGCATCGATTTAGATGTAAAATATTCTCCTATTAGTAATTGTATTACGTTCCGCAAGTTAATACCTATGGCAGAAACTATGAATTTATATATGCAGTATATGTACGTCATGACCATATTTTTATATGTGTCATTAGACGTTAATATTTTCATATGAAAGTCCCTGATGGACTTAAAATTCCTGAATTAAGAGAAAACGAGAGTCGCAATATAGCATTAAATTATAAAGGTCGTTATACAACTTGAAACAGCCGGGTAGAATATGGTATAACCGACTGAGTGAGTTCCTCCTGAAGAGGAGATATGCAAATAATGATGTCTGCCCTTGTGTATTTATAAAGAAATTCGAAAATGTCTTCTGTATTATATTAGTCTATATTAATGATATAAATGTTATTGGAACGCACAAGGAGCTTACAGAAGCTAGCTCATGCCTAAAGACGGAGTTTGAAATGAAAGACTTGAGAAAAACCAAGTTTTGTCTCGGCCTGTAGATCGAGCATTTCCTAGAAGGAATTTTTCTACACCAGTCGACTTACGTGAAAAAGGTTTTGGAAAGATTTTATATGGATAAATCTCATCCAATTAGCACACCAATGGTCGTCCGGTCCCTCGAAGTGGATAAAGACCCATTTAGACCCAAAGAAGATAGTGAAAAAATGTTAGGACCAGAAGTTTCCTATCTGAGCGTCATTAGAGCACTTCTCTATCTCGCAAATTATACCAGGCCTGATATTGCATTTGCGGTGAACTTGCTAGCAAGGTATAGTGCTTCTCCTACAAGGAGGTATTGGAATGACGTTAAACATATCCTTCGCTATCTTTAAGGTACAAACGATCTTGGACTATTCTATGAAAAAAACTAAGATATGACATTGGTGGGCTATTAGGACGCTGGCTACATGTCTGATCCCCATAACGCCAGATCCCAGACTGGTTATGTTTTTCTCTGTGGTAGTACTGTCGTTTCTTAGAGGTCTGTTAAGCAGATCATGGTGACTACTTCTTCTAACCACTCAGAGATTATCGCTTTATATGAGGCCGTACGAGAATGTGTATGATTAAGATTGTTGATACGACATATTCGTGGCTCGTGTGGTCTAGCGAAAGATGATATTACCCCCACTGTCCTTTATGAGGACAATGCAGCTTGTGTTGTATAAATAAGCAGTGGATATGTAAAAGGAACCATGACAAAACATATTACGCCAAAATTCTTTTATCCACATGAGCTCCAAAAGAATGGCGAAATCACCATCGAAAAAGTTCGCTCAAGTGACAATCTTGCAGTTTTGTTCACTAAATCTCTGCCTACATCAACTTATGAGAAATACGTTCATAATATTGGTATGCACAGACTTGGAAGACTATCGTCTTCAGGGGGAGTAAATTCTTAAAGAACAATCTGAAACACACTAAGATAATGCATATTTTAATGGGTAAAATTTGCAAGCGCACAGACTCGGCCAATAGAAACCTGATTGTAGAACTTTTGCAGCTGTCTTTGAAGTGCTTGCATGTCCTCCGTAAGAAGATGAATGACAATGATGGAGAATACTAGTAACCTCATCTTCAGGAACGCACCTTCTAAACATCCCATCAACACACCGTTTGTATAGAAATGGTTCATCACAAAAATAATACTTCAAGTCAGCAAAGAACTTCTTCTTCTGTTGATAGCTCAGATCTGGAGGCAAAACTCCACACACTATGTAGTTGACGAAGTCCGCATACCATGGTGCATCCAATCTTTCTATGGCTAACAATTGATCATCTGGGAAAGATCATCCTCCTCCTTATCATGTGATTCTGGTTTCATCCTCGACAAATGGTCTGCCACCAAATTTTCTGTCCCTTTCTTATCCTTTATCTCTAGGTCAAATTCTTACAAAAGTAGTATCCATCGAATCAACCTAGGCTTGGCATCTTGCTTGCTCAAAAGATATTTGATGGCGGAATGATCGGTATAAACAATGACTTTGGACCCCACTAAGTAAGATCTGAACTTGTCAAAGGCGAAAACAACTGCTAATAACTCCTTTTCAGTGGTAGCATAGTTAACTTGGGCCTCATCAAGAGTGTGACTAGCATAATAAATTGCATGAACTATCTTATCCTTTCTTTGACCCAACACAGCACCAACCGCGTAATCACTTGCATCAGTCATGACTTCAAATGGGAGATTCCAATCCGACGGTTGCATAATAGGAGCTGTTATCAATGCTTCCTTCAACCTACAAAAAGCATCAAGACATTCATCAGTGAAATCATAGGGAGCATCTTTAAGAAGAAGTTTAGTTAAGGGTTTTGTAATTTTCGAAAAGTCTTTGATGAAACGCTGATAAAAACCGGCATATCCCAAGAAACTTCTTACTCCCCTAACCGACGTTGGTGGCGGTAATTTTTCAATGATTTCTACTTTTGCACGATCAACTTTAATTCCTTGCTCGGACACCTTGTGTCCTAGAACTATTCCATCCCTTACCATAAAATGGCATTTCTCCCAATTTAGGACTAAATTAACTTCTTCGAAACGCTGCAAAACTCGAGACAAGTTAGCTAAGCAACCATCAAAAGTAGTCCCGTATACAGAGAAATCATCCATAAACACGTCCATAATGTCTTCTATAAAATCAGAGAAAATAGCCATCATACATCGTTGAAAAGTGATGGGGGCATTACAAAGACCGAAAGGCATGCGCCTATAAGCAAAGGTCCCATAGGGACATGTAAAAGTGGTCTTTTCTTGGTCACTAGGATAAATAGGGATTTGAAAAAATCCCGAATAGCCATCTAAATAACAAAAATAGGAATGCCTTGCCAACTTTTCCAACATCTGGTCTATAAAGGGAAGTGGAAAATGATCTTTTCGGGTTGCCTTGTTTAATTTTCTATAATCAATACACGTCCTCCAACCCGTAACTATCCTAGTAGGGATAAGTTCGTTATTCGCATTCTTAACTACGGTCATACCCCCTTTTTTTGGAACCACATGAACCGGGCTAACCCATTCACTATCTGAAATAGGATAGATTACGCCAGCATCTAGTAGCTTAAGCACCTCTTTTTTAACCACTTCCTTCATGTTAGGATTTAATCTACGTTGGTGCTCTATAGAGGGCTTATGATCATCTTCCAAGAGAATTCTATGCATGCAAATCGATGGGTTGATTCCTTTAATGTCATCCATGGTGTATCCTATGACCTTGCGATGCACCCTAAGTGTTCTAAGCAACTTATCAGTTTCATTTTCATTCAGACATGCATTCACAATCACAGGATAAGTGGAGTTAGGGCCAAGAAATTCATACCTTAAAGAGGAAGGGGGAGGTTTTAATTCTACCTTTGGTGCGTTATCCTCTTCACAAACAGATCCTTTTGACTCTAGCATCAATCTTTCAAGCTTTGCATTTTGAAGTGGAGCAGTTGATGTTGATTCTAAAGATTGAGCATACGCGGCTATCTCGGGGTCTTCATCATTTATTGAACCATCACTTACCAAACATTTCTCAAGTGGATCAGCTGAGTTATTGTTTGCAATTTGCTCATGTGTACACTTGTCAATGACGTCGACCCTGTAACAAATTTTATCACATGTGTACACTTGTCAATGACGTCGACCCTGTAACAAATTTTATCAGTTAGAGGGAGTTTTATAGTATTACTTAAATCAAATTCTACCGTCTCCCCTCCAATATTTAAAGAGAACCTTCCATTTTTAACATCAATTATAGCACCTGCAGTAGCAAGGAAAGGTCTTCCTAAAATAATTGGAATGTTAGAATCTTCTTCTATTTCTAAAATAACAAAATCAACCGGGATAAAGAACTTACCGACCTGGATAGGTACATCTTCAAGTATACCTACCGGATATTTTACCGATCGATCCGCCAATTGGAGTGATATCTAGATGGACATTGGCATCAAACTTACGCTTGCACCTAAATCACACAAAGCACGGTTAATAGAGACATTACCAATAACACAAGGAATAGAAAATGAACCTGGATCCTTAAGCTTAGGAGACAGCTTATTCTGGATGATAGCACTACACTCCTCAGTAAGGGCCACAGTCTCGTATTCTTCCAACTTCCATTTGTTAGATAGGATCTCTTTCAACAACTTAGCATAGAAAGACATTTGAGAAATAGCTTCAGTGAATGAGATATTGATGTGCAACTTTTTCAAAATCTCCAAAAATTTTCCGAACTGCTTTTCTAACTTAGCCTTAGCTAACCTCTGGGGGAAAGGGTAGAGGAGGCTTGTAAGGAGCAGGGGCCACATATTTCTTAACTTTTTCTTCTTCCTGCATCTGGGTCTCATTATCCACATCTATCACAATTTTACCTTTCTCTTCATGATGACCATCCACCCCATCATTTTCCTTCATCTTAGGTCCCTCATATTGTTTTCCACTCCTAAGGGTTATAACATTCATATAACCTCTGGGATTCGTCTCAGGTTGTCTAGGTAGCATGCCTGAAGGCCTAGAGAAAAAGCTAGCATTTTGTGCCAATTGAGTGATTTGTGTCTCTAACATTTTGTTATGCGTAGCTAAGGAATCCATCTTAGAGGCTAATTGTTTTACTACCTTATTCGTGGTTTGTTGTTGTTGTTTAAACTCTTCATTCAATTTTGACTGAGTCATCACAAACTTTTCCATTATATTTTCCAAATTAGACCTTTGGGGAGGGAGATTAGATTGGGGAGCATGAAAACCAGGTGGACCAAAATTAGATGCGGGCATGGAATTTCTAGGTGGGTTTCTATAAGAAAAATTAGGATGATTCCTTCACCCCGGATTATAAGTGTTGGAGAAAGGGTCTCCCTTCTGATTAAAGTTATTAACATAGTTAACATGTTCATTATCAGAAGTATTAAGGGAAGAGGGGTTTCCTAATTGACATTCAAGTGCAGAATGACCCACATAACAGCATATCTCACATGCAATTGAAGTAGACGCCACAGAATTAATACTCAAGCTTTCAACCTTTTTAAATAAAGCATCAACTTTAGAGGATATATGATCTAAAGCATCTATTTCATACTTGCCACCTTTTGATGTCGGAGCCCGCTCGTTCGCCCATTGATTGTAGGCATCGAAAAATGCCTATAGGTATCCACACACAGCTCGAGACGGAGAGAAGATGACGAACGTCGTTATCCGAATTATCTGACGCCGACCAATGCATGAAACAAAACGGCCAACGTTAGATGGCCCGCGTGCTCACTGACCACAACCAAGTGGCCAACACGTTCACCATTCACCTCCAACTTAACAAAATTTATGATGCAAGTCGGTGAAGCCTACGGGTCAATGTAACACACGAAATGGCAAAAGACAACGCAGCTAGGATTTGTGTTTCACCCAAAAGTGGCGAAACACCATGTGTGACTCGCACATATCATGTGTGGCTCGGCTATTGGAAGTTGTAGGTCTTTTCGTCAGCTTTCCAACGCATCTTGAATCACCTCATTCCGAGATCGGACGAGAGAGTTAGAGTCAAAACACCCGAGGTAGTACGAACTGGCTCGCATGGCTGCGAGCCACCAAATGGTGACTCGCACCCATGCGAGTCACCAAATGGTGGCTCGCACAAAAAGTGATATTTAGGTCATGTTGTGTTTTGATTATGAAGAAACTAAAAACATAAGAGTTGTAGGTATTTTCGTCAGCTTTCCAACGCATCTTGAATTACCTCATTCCGAGATCGGACAAGAGAATTAGAGCCAAAACACCCGAGGTAGTACGAACTGGCTCGGATGGCTGCGAGCCACCAAATGGTGACTCGCACCCATGCGAGTCACCAAATGGTGGCTCGCACAAAAAGTGATATTTTGGTCATGTTGGTGATTGTCATTCTGGAAGAAAGCTCAACACTAAACGTGTTGTAGGTCTCATTTCCGTCATCTTTCCAACACATCTTGAATCACTCATTCCGAGATCGGACGAGAAAGTTAGAGGCCAAAACACCGGAGGTAGTACGAACGTGGCTGCGGATGGCTGCGAGCCACCAATGGTGACTCGACACCATGCGAGTCACGCAAATGGGTGGCTCGACAAAAAGTGATATTTCGGCCGTGGTTGTGATTTGATTCTGAAAGACTCAAAAGCCAAAAGTTGTAGGTCTTTTCGTCAGCTTTCCACGCATCTTGAATCACCTCATTCCGAGATCGGAGCGAGAGAGTTAGAGCAAAACACCTAAGATAGTACGAACTGGCTGTCGCATGGCTGCAGCCACCTGGCCGAGCCACCCAGAGTCTGCACCCAGATCTGAGCCAAGATCTGGATTGAAATGCATATAAATAGAGAAGGAAAGCTCATTGTTGAGGAGGTTGGATTTTTGGAGGGAAACTCTGCTGGATTAAAGACTCAAGACTAAAAAAGATTGGAGTTTGGAGCTTGAGGACTCGGACTTTCAGATGCTGGTTTCTTGGCAATCATTCCACGACCAAATAAGGCAGCGAGTTCGAGAGAGATGCAGATCTGAGATCATACACGGTCATGCCTCCGGATCAAAACTTGGTTTTTGATGCCTGAAAGAAGAGTATTGATTTCGCTTGGTCGATTTCGATTACTAAAGGCTATTATTTCCTTGGTGAAATAGTACCCCCGGCTGTTATTTCCTTTGTGAAATAGCACCCGTCATACCGTGTAGATCCGACCGGATCAAGATCGCACAGTGGTCCACGGATTAACCCAGGCGCAGGCAAAGAACCCACACAAGCAAGAGACCGCAAAACAGGATCTTGTGATTTGTTCGAGAAAAGAAAAGTTGTAATTTTTCTTTTTTTCTTTGATTTTGTTGTAACCGGATCTTATAAAAAGACCGGATCTTTTGTAACCGATAAACTTTTGCTTAAGAAAACAATGACATCAACAAAGACAATTTTTCCCGTGAACAATCTGGCGACCACAGTGGGAGCCACCGATCTCGTTGCCGAGATCGTTGCGTCGTAGCCGCGGATCTCGATCCCGGTCGAGGAGGAGGTCGAGTATGAATTCGACCAACAAAAGTTCGAGGAGTATCTGGCATCCTCGTCCGGATCCACCTCCCCCCGCAAGTCCAAGAAGTTCTCCTCCAGGAGAAAAGTTCGTTGGTACGAAGAAGTGCAGAATGCCAACGAAGATCTCACCCCAATTGATGCCGATGTTGCATCGGGTGAAGCTCCACCGACCTCCAACAAGGTCAAATCTGTTCCTGCCAGTTCCTCCGCCGCTGAGGGCGTAGTGACTCTCTCAAAGAGAGCCCGCCAGAGGCGACGTCAACGCCTGGCGCGGCAATTCGCGAAGGCAATGGAGTCCACTGATGGAATCCACTATAACGCGGATCTGAAGAGCAGGAGAGGCAAACAGCCTCAACAAACAATGAATGGCAGCTCCTCCAAGCCGCCAATGAATGAATGGATCCGTATCAAACGGAATCGTTCAACACTTGATGAGCGCATTCACTAGCGCCGCGCACTGTCAGCGCAAGCACGGGCTCAAGTCCAAGAAGCCCGCAGAAGACTGCAGAAGGAAGTGGCCAAAAAGCCGCTACCAACCCACCAAGTATGGAGGCCGAAGTCTGAAGCGGCGATTCAGGCTTTGCAGCCTTCAGCAAAAGTTCAACCTCCGGCGAACCAACCTAAATCACCGGCAATTCCAGTAGCTGCTCCGGAAGATCCCGCAGGACCATCCCGAAGAAGGAGGTCAGTTTTGGAGCGCCTCGGTCCACTCCCCGATGAGCGATGCAAAGCTCCAGTTTAAGAACGTTTGGGCCCGATAAAGAAGCCCCGAACGACTCAACATGCTGGGAGTCGCCGCCACCCTCAACATGACAAAGAGATCATGGCAGCTAGGCACACCAATTTGCGTATTGAAGTCCAGGAGCCAGCTGAGAATTCACGCCCACAAAGGCATGTTTCGAGGCGCGTGACTCTTGAAAGCCCAAGGAAGGCAGTTCGCCCTCAGAAGGAAACATTGTTGTCTGATGATGATAACGTTATACCTGAGAAGTCGTGCCAACACACGATAGGTTACTCCGACCTTCAAGCGGACGAGTTGTACTATCGTACGAGTAAAACCAGGAAAAGGAGTCCTCGAGAACTAGAGACTCAATGCCCTTGTTCCAAACTCATTCGGGCAGTATTGTCTGAGTGCAACTGCATCAAGACAGTCCCCGAAAGAATTTTGGTTTTTGAAAGGTTCAGTACCAAAACGCCAAAACCAAGGCCTAGGCGTTTCCGACAAAGAAGAACGGTAGTTGAAGATGGAGAATTTCCGAGGGTCACCACTAATATGACCAGCAAAGGGACATCGACACAGGAAAATCCCGAGTCGATTCCAAAAGCACCCCGGCGTGTAACACGTCTGCAGTCTGGAGCCATCATACGAGCAACTTATGGTAGGATTCAGACAAGATTACCTTCAGAAGATGAAGAATCGGATGCCGGCTCGGCGGTCACATCAGATAATACGGTATCCAGCGAGGGACAACCCCGCGAGTCACTTATGATAAGTGCGGAACAAGTGGCCAAGATGCTCGAAGAAGCCATGGCGAAACAACAGGAGAGCTTCAGGTTTGAAATACAGATGCCCATGCAGAATATGAGAGAAATGCATGACTTACAAATCCAAGCACTGACAAACCAGCAAGGCGAACCAAGTCGTCGTAACCAGGTTAATCAGGAAGATGAGGACACAGGTGTGAATGAAGCTCATAATGCCAATAATCCTCCCGTCAATGCAAGGGGTGGTATCGAGAATGCTAGTCATAACGCCACACTTCCACCTCAGAATCGTGCTAACGAAAATACAGGTGAAAGTTTGAAGATTAAAAACCTCGAGAGCAAAATCAATACGTTGATTTCCGCTCAAGAGATGAAAAAGACGGGCATTCCTTGTCCATACCCAAGAGAATGGGAATCAATCCCGTATCCGGCGAAGTTCAATCTAATTAACTTCACGCCGTTTAATGGGATGGGTTCACCCACTCAGCATTTGATTTACTTCAAATCACACCTAGGGGTTATCTCTGGTAATGAGCCTCTAATGGTACGGTCCTTCGTTGGCACTCTTCGTGGAGCCGCCTTCGATTGGTATCGCCGCCTCAAGCCAGGAAGTGTGAGTAGCTGGGACGACATGGAGACTAAATTCCTCACCGACTTCTTCGACGATGACACCGAGATATCCATCAGGTAGTTACTTGACGAGAAACAGAAAGACGGAGAATTAGTTGATACATTCGTCAAAAGGTTCCGGAACAAGGCGATGAACTGTCGGGACCCGATCACTGAGGAGTTCATTCTCCAGACTTGCCACAACAACCTCACATTGGACGTGTTGGAAGCAATGGGGACAACACCGTCCAAAACATGGAAGGATTTGAAGGTGCATTTGATTTACTTCAAATCGCACCTGGGTGTTATCTCTGGTAATGAGCCTCTGATGGTACGGTCCTTCGTTGGCACTCTTCGTGGAGCCGCCTTCGATTGGTATCGCCGCCTCAAGCCAGGAAGTGTGAATAGCTGGGACGACATGGAGACTAAATTCCTCACCAACTTCTTCGACGATGATACCGAGATATCCATCGGGTCGTTGCTTGACGAGAAACAAAAAGACGGGGAATTGGTTGATACCTTCGTCAAAAGGTTCCGGAACAAGGCGATGAACTGTCGGGACCCGATCACTGAGGAGTTCATTCTCCAGACTTGCCACAACAACCTCACATTGGACGTGTTGGAAGCAATGGGGACAACACCGTCCAAAACATGGAAGGATTTGAAGGTCCGAGGAGAGCAAGCCGAACGCTTCCTTCGAAGGAAGAAAGCCGAGAGGAGCGAATCTTCCGAACTCAAACTTCGCCTCCCGTGGGAAGGGAAAAACACCTGCAGCTACTGGTGGTGCTAATCAAACGTCACAACAACAATCCCGAAGGCAACAAAAGACTTCGGACCCGAAACTCCAAAAAGAGTATTCCTTTAAGGACGAAGACGTTCCAGCCATCT